TAAGTGTGTACACAAAATTCCTACAGAGTTATCACAAAAGCCTCTTTACAAAGTTGGACCTGTGGGATAAAGCACTGGACCATAAGGTCAGTTTAAACCACAAGGTCGGCTATTCAAACTCACCAGCCATGCTCCTTGGAAGCCCTACAGAGGGTCGCTGTAAGTAAGAACTGATTCAATGGCACTTACCAACAACAACAACAGAGATAAATAAAAACCAGATCCAGGCTATTGTACACTGGAAATATTTTCCCAGTTACACCTTGAAATAAAACTATTGTCAAACTATCTCAACCCTTGGCATTTAGGTAGTGATATTGCTAGTAAATGACCCTGGGAGAAAGGGGTGGGGGGACCCCCTGATTTATAGTATTTTCTGATTTTTGTAGTACTGATTTTTCTACCATCACAGAATAGGAAGACTTCATGTTGGATAATTTTCAAATTAAGGAACTGGAAGAGGAATCACTGAGAAAAATGTGTCTTTCTCTTCCTCCTCCTTCATCAACCGATTACAACTTGTTAGCTACAGGTTTATTTAACCCGGGTGGGATGGGGGTGGGGGTGGGGGTCTAATCTGTGTGCAGTGGTCAAAGGGCTCCAAGGAACTTACGGTGGGAGAGCATTCTCTATCTTTCCTTAGCTTTCAATTTCAGGTTAATTTTTTTAAAGTTAAATAAACTTTAATATTAGATAAAATAATTTTTGAAAGGTAAAAATGATACAACAGGAAATTTTAAATGGGATTTAAATGATCACTCAAAAGTTGTTCTTTTTTTAAACCCAAGGAGATAAACTGCAGAAGTTTATCTTGGAGAGAAACTTCATAAAGACCAGATTGACTCAAAAACCATATCCAGAGAAATGTCTTTATGTAACCCAGACAACTGCTTTGCCCCTTAGATTAGAGACTTACTGCATTTCATGGCATCAGATTTTAAAGAGAAGAGAATAATTCTTGGGTTTAAGAAGTCCAGTTGTTTGATAGTCAGGTCTCAAGCTCCTGGAAAAAATATCACTAAACCAAATAGATTGATTTCTATATGGATAAAAATCCTGATTTTCAATAAGTGTGTGTGTGTGTATACATATATAGTCTTCTTCCCACACCTATTGTCCTAAGTCTCAGCAACCCTATGGGACAGAGGAGAACTGCTCTCTAGGGTTTCCAAGACTATAAATCTTTACAGAAGCTGACTACGTCATCCTTCTCCCATGGAACACCCAAAGGTTCAAATCGCCAACCTTTCAGGTGGCAGCCTCATGCTTAACCCACAGTACCACCAGGGTTTATATATATACAATATATACAAATACACACACACGCATATTTATATATAAAATGTTGTTGTTATTGTTGTTAAGTGCCAGTGAGTTGGTTCCAACTCATAGGGACTCTGTATAGGGTTTCTGAGGATTGGCTGGTGAGTTTGAACTCCTGACCTTGCTGTTAGAAATCTATTGCTTATCCTACAACACCATAAGAAATCTTTTTCTTTCAAATATATTAAATACATTTACCAAAATAAATTTTATCAAAATATTCCCTCTTGGATTTATTTAGAGTCATTCATTCATCCAATAATATTTATGAGGTGGAGACTCCTGATGTGGAGCTGTAGGTTAAGCAGTGGACTGCTAACCACAAGGTCAGCAGTTCAAACCCACCAGCTGGTCTTTGAAAACCCTATACAGTGTTTCTGTGAGTCAGAACTGACTCGCCGGCACTTAGCAACAACAATAGGCACTTGTATCAGGCATAGGGTCATGATCAAGGATAAGTCGTTGTAATAGATAGTCTAAGGTACTGTAAAAGTCTCAGGTTCTGAATCCTCAGATGGAGACACAGGTGGAAACATAAGTTTGCTAAATGTCACTTTGATAAGCCATGTAGACAATTTCCAATGATTAGAACAGTCTAATGTTACTGAAATACTAATCTTCTCTCCAAAGACATACATGTAATGACTCACTATACAGAATAAAATATTTCTTCCTGTAAATTAGTTCATTAAACCAATTACAAACCATGTAGAACATGTACACTAAAAAGATATCGAGGTGTTAAAGACTCTTAAAACTGTCAGATTAATTATCGCCTACCTATTAATCATGCTACTTTTTCTTGAAAAACAATTTTTATTTGAATTATTTGGAGTTTAATTCAGTTAACATTGTTTACCTACTGGTATAATTGAAGGATCATAAAATTTCATCTTTTCCAAGTTTTTATTATATTGTTGATCCATTTATTAAGTTTTCCAGGAACAAAGATCTAGGAATATTTTTAAAGTATTTTGAGTCATATCAATTTGTGCCAGTAAATAGTAGAAACCATGACATGCCAATAGTACAATCTCTTTAGGTACTCCAAGAATATGTTGTTGAGGAACCAGAACCATTTTACAAAGAGCAGAAACCTATATATTACTTGATCTTTGAATCACATTTGAAAGCCTTGAAGTATTACATGTATAAAGAAAACAATGAAATCCACTGCCATTAAGTCAATTCCAACTTATGTTGTTGTGGTTGTCAGGTGTCCTTGAGTGAGTTCCAATTCAGAGTGACTCTGTGCACAGAAGAATGGAGCACTGCCTAATCCTGAACTATCCTCACAATTGTTGCTATGATAGTGATGCCACATAGGGCTCCTGAGACTGTAAATCTTTATGGGAGCAGAAAATCTTATCTTTCTCTCACTGGGAGGCTGGAGGGTTCAAACAACTGACCTTGTGATTAGCAGCCCAACACCTAACCCACAACACCACTACTTGACATATAGCAATTTGTTTTTATATTTGGTTATCCTACTATGTATGATAAAATCTACTTTTACTTTACACCATTGTCTTAGACTGGATTCTCTAGCGGAGCAAAACCAATGAAGTCTATGTATATACAAATACATAAAGAGATTTTTATTTTTAAGAAATGAATTAGGCTATTGTGGAAGCAGAGAAGTCCTAAATCTGTAAATCAGGTGACAGTATAAAGCCTATGCCTGACTTATGTAGCAGCATAATTGACAACCTCAAAATCCTCAAAATCTGCCAGTTAGGCAGCAGGCTGCTGGCTCAAGTTCCAAAAACCAGAGTTCAGAGGATGATGAAGCAAATGCAGGGTCAAGAGAGAATGTGCTTGGCTAAAATATCCGTGTATATTGTCCACATCCTCAAGGAAACGCCCGCTTTCAACTGATTGCACACATCAGATTGTAAAATGGAGGATGATACATAATATCTGCCATAATATCTGAGAATCATGGCTTAGGCAAGTTGATACATAACCTTAACCATCACAATCAATATAATATATGCTGTTGTTGTTGTTAGTTGCCATTGAGTCAGTTCTGACTCATGATGACCCAGTGTATACAGAGTACAATAGCTCCACAGAGTTTTCAGACTGAACTTTTGGAAACAAGGCTAGACCTGTTTCCATGGTGTCTCTGAGGTGGGCTTGCTTAAATGCCAAGTTTTCAGTTCGTAGTTGAGTACTTAACAGTTTGTGCCACCAAAAGACTTTTATAAAACATGTAAACATCATCTTCTATAAAATGTTAAAAGAGTTTTTTTCAATACTAAGGTTGGTAATTTTTCAGGGATTTAGACAGATGTGAATCAGATGTTACATAACTGTTGTTGTTGTTGAGTGCCATCTAGTTGGTTCATTTTGCTTGGTGCCACCATCAACACTCCTGAAAGCAGCAGTCAAGAAATCAAACAACATATTGCATTAGGCAAATCTGCTGCACGTATCTCTTTAATGTGTTGGTTTGAAGACTAAGGTGCGCCCAACCCATGCCATGGTATTTTCAATAGCCTCATGAACATGTGAATGTTAGATACTGGATAAGGAAAACTGTAGAATAATTGATTCATTTGAGTTATGGTGTTGGACAAGAATATTAAAGGTACCATGGACTTGCAGAAGAACAAACAAATCTGTGTTAGAAGAAGTAGAACCATAATGTTCCCTAGAAGCCAGGATGGCAAGACTTGGTCCCTCATTGTTCGTACATGTTATCAGGTGGGAGCAATTCCTGGAAAAAGGCATCATTGTTGGTAAAGTGGAGGGTCAAAAAAAATTTTTTTATGGTAAATTTTTAGACATTTACTCAAATTTAGTTGACATAGTTCAAAATGTATTTTAAGTATAGAGTTCTCATTACAGAATTGTAGTACATTAGAAATTGTCCTATGGCTTTTGATCACTTTTTATGAAAAGCATATTCATACTCCCATTTGTTAAAAGTAAAAGCTTTATTTCACTGGAATACTAACCACAAGGTCAGTGGTTTGAGCCCACCAGCTACTCAGCTGGAGAAAGATGAGAGTTTCTGTTCCAGTAAAGATTTACATTCCTTGGAAACTATATGCAGGGTAAATAGTTGAAACTGATTCAATTGCACTTAACAACAATACCACGTTTAAGAAAGGAACCCCAGTGATGAAAATGGTTTGTGAGTGGGAGAAAAGCCCAGTAATCTGCTTCCATAAAGTTTATAGTGAAGAAAACTCTATAGACCAGTCTACTCTTACAAACGAAAAACAAGCAGTCAAAATAGACGTCATGACATAAGATAAAAACAACATGTTTCAGAATTTTATTTCTGGTCAGCATAATAAATGATCTGGACTTTTCTCAATAGAAATGTAATTAAATATGTGTTAATTTTTTTAAAGAATAATAAAATGAAGTGGCCAGATCCACATTTCAAATGGAAAAAAAATTTTTTTTTTACCTCTATGAATCATCGGTACCGACTCGATGGCACCTAACAACAACAACAAAAACAACATGAATCAAAAACACCCTGAAAAATAGTCTATCTGTGTTTAAAGGTTTCAAGCTATTACAAAAATAAAGAAAACAGATGAATATATACAGAGTATATATATATGTAGAGTGCTATGTGTTCTTGGGATTGTATACTTGCAAACTGTCTTCTGTCATCATGAGCCCAATGCTGAGGCCTTCTTTGCTTTTCCTTACAGAATGGGCTCAACGCTCTCCATCTGGCTGCCAAGGAGGGTCATGTGGGGCTGGTTCAGGAGCTGTTGGGAAGAGGGTCCTCTGTGGATTCTGCTACTAAGGTAATGTTCATGCTGGCAGAACATTTTGTCTTAGAGGGGGAAAAATGATTTGAAGCTGCTTTTCCCTGATTGTACTAGAGATTCACTAAACACCAAGATTCTGAACCACACAGAACTAAAAATGAAACCCTATGTGTGAAACTTTGAATTGTTTCTCTTTGGGAATATATGAGTCATAATAGTCATCAAAGAGGTTCAGATTTTAAAATTTATAAAGTTAATGTCTAAGGTTTCATTTTAATCCCTTGATTCACATAGTTGTTAAGTGCTATCGAGTCTGTTTTGACTCAGAGTGGCATGGTATAGGGTTTCCAAGGAGCAGCTGGTGGGTTTGAACTGCTGACCTGTGGTTTGCAGTCTAGTGCTGATCCTACAGCACCACACCAGTAATCCTTCATTCACATAGAGGACTAGATTTAAAAATCCTCTAAAAACAATAATACCTGTTTTTCCTAAGGTAAACTCATTTTTAAAATAAGTTAATGTAGGACACTTCTCAATAAAAATTAACAAGTAATTTTGACACTTCAATTAAATTAATATGGCTTTAGATGTAGTCATTTGACTTGGTAGAGAATATACCAAATCCTTTCTAGCCAAAAGAAAGTGAGATTTAGATTCATGGATTGAATTATTAGAGTAAAATTAGATTTTGTCACTGTAATACGTTTATAAAGGGATTGGAGTGATTTTTAAATAACATATATATAAGATACATGATACACTAGAAATTGTTTCCTTGTTGATGCTGCTTTAACTAAAATATATTTGAACATTGTCTTTGCAAATTATTTTTAGAAACAACGGGCATTAAAATATAATTGGTGGTGACAAATTTTTGTCTATTGAATATGAAATGTTTATTTGGAAAATAAAACAAAACAGTAGCCAATAAGAACCAAGCCTGCTGCCCAAGGCTGTTGTTTTTCAGTGCCATCAAATAAGTTCCGACCCATAGCGACCCTGTATAGGGTTTCCAAGGAACTACTGGTGAGCTTGAACCATTGACCTTATAGTTCAAAGGGTTTTGTAGTCTGGCGCATTAACCCACAGCACCACACCACGACTTCAATAAGGTTGGAGCATGATAATACGACTGAGAGCCCTATGAACAGTGTGATTAAGTATTCACACTTCTGTCTGGGGCATTAGTCTACTGAGGCTACAGAAGAGCCCTATAATAAATTAGGAATGCTTTCAGTTAGTTTAGATTTCCAGCACTTCAGACATAACTGGCAAATTGTAGATTGGTGCTGTTCACAGTATTATTGCTGTTGTTAAGTGTCATCATATCAGTTCCACTCATAGCAACCCTGTATTAGGGTTTCTAAGGAACAGCTGGTGGGTTTGAACTGCCGACGTTGTGGTTCGCAGTCCAGTACTTAACACCAGAGCCATACAAGCACTCTGTTCACAGTGTAGTCCACAGCAATTTTATTGGAAATTCTTAAACAATAAACAAAGAAAAAAATTCTGTCAATTCCAAAGAAGTTAAAAATGTAAGATTGTCATAGGCAATAAATTCCTTGCTTGGAACATAGAGAGAATAAAGTTTTTTTTTTGTTTTTTTGTTTTTTTTAATTAAAGCTTTTCTGGGCCATAACAAATGAATGGTGAACAGATATTTAAAAGATACTGGTTTGAACATTTATTGAATTCTTTTTTGTTTAAAACTGTATTTTGTCATTATTTTCTTTTTTCCTTTCCTTGAAAGTATGTTAATATTTTAAAATGTAGTGATCCAGAAATAAAATTATTCTACATAAAGTACCTAATTCAAAGATGAAGCAACTAAGTTGTCAAAATAATTAGCAGGTCCCAGGATCTGTTGTGATGTGATGACTAAATAAGAGTTAGAGTCTATAAGTTTAAAAATTTTGTCATTTATTTTAGTCACCACTCAAATATCTTTTACTTTCTTGGTCAATATTTTCTTTTCATGAAAATTTTAGATTTTATTTCATTTGTGATTAGTTTTGTGGATGCTAAATTTTGATGTGATCAATGTTAAAACCATTGCTAACCTTGTGATTGATTTAGTTTCCTTTTTCATTCAAAATATTTGAGCAACAGCCACAAGCAGATAGGAACATAACCATTCAAAATCTGTTTCTTTGCAAGGTGAAGTAATCTCAGTGGCTCACTGAACCTTTTTGTTGTCAATTTCTCCATGTGGCAGGATTCTTTAGTGGTTAATTAAATGCCATAAAGGGTGATATTTTCTCTTTTTCTTTCTTTAAGGGGGAAAGATGAGATCGTTTTGATAAAGATATACAGTCTTGGTAACTGCCTTAGGCTGGGTTCCCCAGAGAAACCAAACCAGTGAAGCTTACATATGTATATATAAAGAGAGGTTTAGGAGCGTGAACAATAACAACAAGGAGCGTGATAGCTCTGTAGGATAAATATACTGGACTTCAAACCTCAATGTTTCCAGTTCAAGTTCACCAGCTGCAACTCAGGAGAAAAGTGAGACTTTCTGTTCCTGCAAAGTTTACAGCCTTAGAAACCATATACAGAGTGACTATGAGTCAGAATCAACTCAACAACACTAAACAACAACAAAGAGAGGCTTGTACAGCTCACACAATTGTAGAGGTGGGCAAGTCCCAAGTCCATGGGTAAGATGCTAGGCTGGGGTGTCTAATTCACGTAGTTGCAGGGCTGATGAACCAAGATTTTTTTAGATCAGAAGGCAGGCAAACAGGCAGGTCCAGCAGGTAGGAAAGCCAGCTGCTGATGACTCCCAGGATTGGCACATAATAATAGAGCAGGCCACTGGCTCAAGTCCAAAGAATTGGAGATTGTAGGATGAGCCAGATACAAGATCCAGACCTAGCACAGAGTGAGCAAGCTTTGCCTGGGTAGGAAGCTCTCCTATAATTGACTGGCTGCTCATAGTAGACCTCATCATAGAGATGTTTACGTTATATTAGTTCTCAACATGGGGTAACTACATCTCAAATGCCAAACCACTGAGAATCCTAGCCCAGCTAAGTTGACACAAAATCTTAACTGTCACAGAAACACTATGGAGCAGTTCTACTCTGTTCTACAAGGTTGATCTTGGAATTGCTCCGCAGCAGGTTTTGTTCTCAACCTATACAAAGTTTTCTGAAGGATATGAAAAGATGATATTATACTGTCATTCCAAGCTTGACTATAATCCATAGATTTGAAGGTGGCTACATATTTTGATTTCTGAAAAATTCAGTAACCTCTAACACTTTCTATTTTGTTTTTCCAAAACAGAAGGGAAATACTGCTCTTCACATTGCATCTTTGGCTGGACAAGCAGAAGTCGTCAAAGTTCTTGTTAAGGAAGGAGCCAATATTAATGCCCAGTCTCAGGTATTCTCAGATTGTCTCCAATGTAAATGGGTATCAATTAATAAAATAATAATTTGTAATATTGATTTAATGGATTTAGCTTGTTAGACAGATACCTTTTTTATAAATGCTTTCTTTCTTTAATTCATTCCATGAATTTTTTTTTTTTTTTTGGCATGTCATAATCTCCCTGTTTAACTGATTCTTGCATCAGTCTATCAGTGATTTTAAGTATATATTTAAAACACTATAAAGTGAAGTTGATTTATTTTTGCAGAATGTTAGTGGCATTTGTGAATATGAATTATTCATGCAAGTTCCTTGTCACTCTAAAAAAAAATTCTCTCCCAAATTTCAAATATTCTCAAAATATTATTACTATTCTGGTAGGAAACCTGCTATAAAGGGGGAATCACACTGCTTTGGTTACCTCATACCCCAAATGTGGGCTTTTCAAATCTGCCAAGGAAAATATGCTAATCCAAACCTACACCCTTATGATGCACATAATAACAAATAGGAAATACATGTTCTTAAAACTAAATTAGGATTTATTTTAAAAGGATAATTTTTTAATCCAAATATGCCATACTATGAACTTTCTTTCTTTCTTTCTTTTTTTTTTTTTCTGGTGACCAAAGGGAGAAAACACCATTTTGCCCAAAGCTTTATTCTTAATTTTTATGAGGATGCTTCACAAAGTTCATGGAGAAATGGAATTAAAATATAATAGAAAATTTCCATGAAATTTTTGAAGCCCTTTTGCATTGTCTTAATTTCCAAGTAATGTCCTAAAAAATATCCCAGAAGAGGGTGTTTTTGAAGAGCAGAAATTTATTTACCTCTGGTAGCGTAGTGGTTATGAATCGGGCTGTGAACCTTTAAGGTCAGCGGTTTGAAACTACCAGCCGCTCTGCGGGAGAAAGATGAGGCTTTCTACTCCCGTAAAGATTTACACCCTCGGAAACCCTGTACAGGGTCGCTATGGGTCGGAACCGACTCGACGGCACTTAACAACAACAACAACAAAGGCTAGATATGGAGTCCTGGTGTGGTGCTGTAGGATAAGCACTGGACCATAAGGTCAGTGGTTCAAGCTAACCAGCCACTTCTTAGAAACCCTATACAGGGTCTCTATAAGTCGGCATCAACTCAATGCCATCTAACAACAATAGCAAAGGCTATATATGGATTCCTGGTATGATGCTGTGGGATAAAACAGTGGACCATCAGGTCAGTTTGAACCACAAGGTTGATGGTTCAAACTCACTAGCCGCTCCTTGGAAGCCCTGTCCAGGGGGCTTTATGAGTCGGAATAACTTGAAGGCACATAACCACAAAGGATGATAAGCACTTGATCTCAAGCTTGATTTGAACCACCAACCTTACAGTTCAAACTCACCAGTTGCTTCGTGGAAACCCTATACAGGGCTGCTATGAGTCAGAACAGGGAGCTCTGGTAGCATATTGGTTACAAGTTGGGCTGCTAACATCAAGGTCAGCAGTTCAAAATATCTGCTGTTCCGTTAGAGAAACATGAGACTTTCTGCTCCTGTAAAGATTTACAGCCTCAGAAACACCATGCAGGCTCACTGTGAGTCAAAACCTACTCCACATCACACCACCACCACCACCACCACCACAAGTCAGAATAGACTCAAGGGCACTTAACTACAATAAAGCTTAGAATTCTGATTCAAATTTTCTTTGTTGCCTACTGAGGAAGATCCTTCCTTATCTCCTTCAGCTTCTGGTTGTCCTGGGCATTTCTTAACATTCTTTGGGTTGTAAATAGATTCTTTTCTGCTAGCTTTCCCCCTTTGTGTGATTCTCTACACAGAAGTGATTAGTGATTATGTTTAGGACACACCTTACTTCAGTATGACTTGTTTAAATTAACTTGACTATATCTACAAGGACAACACCTGGTTTTTCCAAACAAGGTCATATTCACCAGTGCAGAGATCAGTACTTCAACATACCTTTGTTTTTGTGTGTGTGTGTGGGGGGGGGAGGGGGCAGACACAACACAATTCAATCCATTATGCACTACCCTTTGCCCAACCACTTCCCTAACTGACACACTTCTCACATGTAAAATGCATATACTCCATCCCAGAGTCCTGTAGCACTCTAGGATAAGCACTGGACTACAAGGCCAGTGTGAACTGCAAGTATGATGGTTCAAACCCACCAGCTGCTCTTCAGAAATCCTACACCGGGTTGCTAGAGTCAGAACCAACTCAAAGGTCCTTAACAACAACAACAGACTTCATCCCCATCAATTGCCATCTAGTCGATTCTGACTCTTAAAGACCCTATAGGACAGAATAGAAGGATCCCATTTTTAGAAGCCAACTACCACATCTTTCTTCCTTGGAGTGGTTGGTGGATTTCAGCCACTGACCTTTCAGTTAGCAATCAAGCTCTTAATCATTGCCTCATCAGGGCACCTTTACCCCATCCCAGCATCTCCTAAATTCTTAATCCACTCTAGACTCCATTCTAAATTTAAAATCTCCTCTTCTGAATTGACTACATCAAGTATGGGTGAAATTCTGGGTGTGTTCTATCTGGAGCAATATCCCTTTCTATCAGTAGACCTGTGAAACCTAGAGTATAAGTTATCTGCTTCCTAAAGACAATGGTGGTAAAAGAATAGGGCAGACAGTCCTATTCCAAAAGGGAGAAATTGGAGGGGAATAAATGTGGCACTGTGGGTTAATGTACCAGACTGCAAAGCCGTTTGAACTGCAAGGTCAGCAGTTTAAGCTCACCAGCTACACCTCGGAAACCCTATACAGGGTCGCTATGGGTCAGAACTGACTTGACAGCATTTAACAACAACAACATGGGGTCATAGGTACCAAACAAGTCTATAACTTAGTGGGAAAATCTCATTAGATTTCAAAACATGTAGATAATTCTCCTTTATCTGGGTACATCTGGGTTATGACTTTGCCCCTGGATCTGGATGAATACCCTGCCCTTTGGATTTTGGTTAGAAGTCCCTCAGATTTGGGCAGTAGCTAACAAGACATTTGATTGCTAAGAAGCAGTTTCTCTACTTTGAAGGGAAATTCCCATATACATTAGTGCTGTTGATATCTGTGAAAACAGCTTTGTTACTTTTCTCAAATTGTCAAATTGATCATACCGATGTCATAAAAATTGACAGATGGCAAATGTCTTGAGGTAAATGTTTGTTGAAAGCTATGATATCAGTTGTTGTTGTTATGTGCCATGGAGTCAGTTCTGACTCATAGAGACCCTGTACAGGGTTTCCAAGGCTATAAATCTTTACGGGAGCAGAACGCCTCATCTTTCTCCTGCAGAACAGCTGGTAGTTCGAAACGATATCAGTAGTTATTAGAAATTTATATGTTTTAGAAATTTTTCAAGGAGAACAAGCCAAAATGTTTAAGTGATTTGTTTTGAGTCAATGTACTTTTTCTCTGTACTTAGGCCAGATTATAAAAGCTCTTAAAATAATCTGTTTATATTGGATATAATTAATTTAATTTGCTATTTATATTGGGAGGAATTCTGATGAACTGCATAAACTGGCATTTACATTGTAAGAACATTTTAGAATTAGAAATATTAATAATTAATATTTAGGACTTTTTCTAAGTATTGAAGTCACTTGATATAGTCTCTACCATTATTTGCTGTTTTGAATTTAAGCAGCCATCATTGCCAATTGGCAAAAGTTGATATCACTTACAGTATTTTTTAATTTAGTGATTGAACTTATCATAAAATTGTGACATGAATTTACTTAAAACACATTGGTTATTTTGTCACAGATGTCAGGAAATTTCAAATTACATGGTTTTAGGACATTGAGGATTGCTATATGTCTTTCTTAATATATGATTCTCATCAGTCCTGTCTTATTTAAAACAAACATTTCTTTATTGTGATGACATTGGACATCATGATGGTTGGAAAGTCACTTCCTTTTGGGATCCAGAAAATGATTAGAGATGCAGAATATGTCTGTCTTTATAAGAACTTTGATAGCTGCATAGTACTATACTTCTGACTGATTTCTGAGTTATTTGGAAATGAGCAGTAGAGTTACTGTTAAATTCAGAAGGTAAGTTCTCTGAAAAAGATCCAAAGAATAAATATTCAGGTTGTGGAGATTTACACACCTTATGTATTTTCTGCGTGTTCTACACAAACTATGACATCCACGTGAGGCTTACCTTCAGATAACATGGTTCCATGAAGACTTCCAAAGCACCAAAAAGATAAGCATTTTAAATGAAATTTTAATATTGGTAAAATAGTAATTTTGTTGTTAAGTACTTTTGAGTCAGTTCCAACTAGGATTTCGAAGGAGTGGCCGATAGATTTGAACTACCGACCCTGAGGTTAGCAGTCCAGCGCTTATCATACATCACCACACCAGAACTTCAAAACCGTAATTAGCAAATGTTTATTGTAGTTTCTATGTTTAGCAGTGACATTAGTATAACAAAACACCCATTGCTATTGGGTCATTTCCAACTCATAATGACATTGTAGGATAGATGATGTTTATTGTTAGGAGTCTTTATGTAAAATAAACACTAGACTGCAAGGTCAGTTTGAACTGCAAGGTTGGAGGTTCAAACCCACTAGCCACTCCTTGAAAACCCTCTACAGGGTTGCTAAGAGTCGGAACTGATTCTACTACACTTGGCAACAGCAACAACAGGGTAGAGTAGAGCTGCCACATAGAATTTCTAAGGTTGTCATGTTTACAGAAGCCTACTCGGAAACCCTGTACAGGGTCGCTATGGGTCGGAACCGACTCAACGGCACTTAACAACAACAACAACTGCTGCTTCTATGCCCCTATATTCCACAGAGCTGCTGGTGTGTTGGAACTACCTACCTGATGCTAGTAGCCAAGTCCTCAACCTGTGTCACCAGGACTCCATAGTGTCATGTTGTCCACGAACCCAGTTCTTGGTAGGATTTTGAATATTGTTCCTCACTTATACCTCCCCAACTTAGTTCTTTGGTTT